GCAGTGTAATCCAGTTTTAAAAACCTTCAGAAAAAGACAATAAGTAGAATGCCCTGAGATTCCAAATTGTCACTCTCTGACCCTCTGATTTAGAACTATTGAATTGATCAGTAATATGCTCACTAATACTGTGAAAATCTTAGGTACACATCACACCTATTTTTTAAAAATGGCATAACGGGGGCCGGCCCAGTGGCACACTGCTATAGTGCGCCACTTGGGAGCGTGGTGGCGCTCCCGCCGAGGGTTCGGATCCCACATACAGACCGGTTCCCGCTCACTGGCTGAGCGAGGCGCGGGAGCAACACCAAGGGTTGCGATCCCGTTGCCGGTCCCGGTCCGGTACGGGGGCAACACTGAGGGTTGCAATCCGTTGCCGGACACGGAAAAAGACAAAAAAAGAAAAAAAAAATGGCATAACGGGACCTGACAAATAATTTGAGAAATCTAGAAGTTTTAACTCAGGGCCTTGGATACTCTTGGTAGGGTTTCTATTCAAAGCCAGGTGGGGCTTTCTTCTCTGTGAGGAAAAGGTCCATTCGTGCTTTGCAAAGTGAGCCTTTTTTTTTTTTTTTTTTTTTTTAACTTCCTTTGGGGAAGACATCTCAGGGAAAAAACAAGGCTTGAGAACCGCCACGTAGCAGGTGGGTGGTGACAATGCCTGTGACAACTTGCTTCTGCCAGGGTTCATATGGTGACCTGCAAACCAGGAGGATCTCAGACACATTTGCTTATAATGATCAATACGCTTGCAAGTGCTCATCACATCTGTCAACAGAGATGCTGCTAAGAATTGTGAAAATGAATTGTTTAGGGATCCTGTTCTCCATGGAGTTCTGCGGTAAAATAAGGGATGTGGTTTGCTGCAAATATTTTGCCTTTGGATGAGTTTAAATCTAAGTTAAAACATTATAGATTTAAAAGAAAAAACTGGTAACTTTCTGATGAAAGATTAGCAATGATATGCAAAATAGTAACTCAAGAACTGAAAATTTAAACTGTTGTTCTGTGCAATGATACCCAACAGAGATTAAAAAAATACAGAAAGCTGAGGTTGAGCAGAAACCCTTGGCAGAGGGTTGATATCCTTCACCTTGAGCCATAAATTATTCATCAGAGAGGTAGCAGACAAACTTCACCCTTGTTAACTTTAAAAAGAAAACCCATTAGTTGTGCAATGAATCACTTCGCCATATGACCTGTGTCCTAGAAATGCAGTTAGGTGAGGTCTAAGGTTGCTGCAGCGTCCCTGGATGGCAGGAGAGAGCAGCCGTCATGCGTGAGCACATGCATGCGTGTACGTGTGCTGAGACATGCAGTTGTCCAGAAGCGTCACATGGCAAATAGCAATTTGCAACTCAGAACCACAGAGAGGGTTTGTTTTACTATTCTGTCTGTTCCAGTTATTTAACTGATGGCAGATGTTCTCATTTAGGGCTATTAGCACATTAGAATATGTTTACCAAACCTGGAAAAGGGCTAACCTCTTTTGGACAATGATCAAAATACATATTCTAGGGTAGCTAGCACCTCCAGAGTGCTTGGGAGCCCCTTAAAACTATACCAAGTTGTCTTTAGCGTGGGGTTAGGCTCAAAGAATTCCATGAGTTGAGAGTACAAAATTGTAAGTGGGATTTGGCTACGTGTCGAAATACAGTTATTGTTACCCTGAAATAGATGTTCCTTGGTTTCTCTTGGCTGTTCCAGAACCATATGGCAAATTAGGGGATGGCTGGTTTATGTGGACCATTGATAGCTCCCAAGAAAGAAACCAAAAGGGGAGAAGTTAGAAGTAGAGATCAGGGAAGAGCGATTTGAAGGCGGCTGCCGTTGACTGGTGGAGGCAAGTAGGAGGGAGGGAGGTAGGCCTGCCTTGGCACTCTGCTTCACTGCTGAACCCCCGACGGATTCTTGGTTGCGTTATCTGGAGAGCCACGTCCATAATGGTGTAATGATTATGCTGATTAGCACAGGTGCGGCATTGAATGACACCTGGTGATGCTGCCCAGCTCAGGTTAGCCTAGATTTGTGCTTTTCACTTCTGTGCCGTTAAACTCCAGTATAAACTTGGCTAAAGTTTTCTTTGTCTTTTTGGGTTGATCCCATTATCCCTTTGCACCCTCTCAGAGGGCAATATGTGCAGAAAGGTCTTTCCAAACCTGAACCTCTAAATGATTAACAGTGATGTGGACCGTTGAGCAAGGTCAGATGAAAGCATTGACATTTATTTTGTAGGTGAGAGGCTAAGATGCAGGTAGAGAAGAGATGTCCAAGGAATGAAGGTGCATAAGGAAATGAAAGTGCCTGTATAGACTGGCAGGATTGGGAGCTTTTCTTTTACCAACACAGGGGGAAAAAACATATAGATGAAAAGCATCATAATCGAGTGTTTTGTTTTGAGAGATCCCGCACCTACTGGAAGGGTGGCAGGCTCTTGGCCATTGACACCAGGTGCATGTGACTTCAGCCCCTGGGCTACGTGTTGGAGTTCCGTAGCCTCTCCGTTCTCACCTTTCTGTGGCTCAGCTGCCCTGTCCAAAATAAAAGACCATATGTTTATCTCAAGTTCGGAGGATTAAACTGATATACTTTATGAAAGCTAGTGCCTAGTAGGCACTTAACAAAGGCAGTTTCTCTTCCTTCTTTCTCTTCCGCTTTTAAAAATTAAGATTTGGGAGTACTATAAATAAAACAGCTAATAAAGTGCATTTTCAGTGTTGAATTCAGCCAGTCAAAGGAGAGAGGCCAGAGACTGATGGCAAAGGCTAGGGGAGCAGGCCGGACACGGGGGGTTTGCCAGCTGTGGGCAGATCCACGGCTGTGGGGGGGACGGTGCAGGCTCACGAGGAAAGTGAAAAGTATTTATATTTAAAAGAAAAAAAATAAAAGCTTACAAAAACATGGTCAGTTTGTTGGCCAAACATTTCAGGCGCCGGCAGAGGACTGGAAGCCCAGGAATTTTGGAAATACTACCCTTCTTGATTTTCAGTGGTAGAAACCCCAAACTTCCTGCTCTGGAAAGTGGGGGTGGCCACTGGGTTTTATTTTTTGCCAGGAAAAGTGCCATTTCTTTCTTTGGGTCGATGCTGCCATCTGATGTCTCCACGTGGCGTTGCGTCTGTGCCTCTGCATTGTGAGCTCAAATTAAACTAGAATTAGAGGGTCTGGATCTAACCCCAGGCTTCCAGGATGCAGGGAGGTGACTAAGTTTTTAAAACTCACTTAGCTTAAGTATAGATTTTTTTGTAGTAGTAGCAGCAAAGAATTTACTCCTTACATTTTGTTCCCTTTTTATTGTTATGGTGAAGCTTTCTGAGAGCGTGTTATTGGATGTAAAGTCACCAGCCACCTACACAGAATTCTGCATGCTGTGACACTCCGACTTTTTCCTTATCTTTTCCTTGCTTTCTGGGGAATTCAGGTGGGGATACCATGCTGTCAGATTCCAGCCACAGAGGCTCTGAGTGGAATGCTCGTGAAAACCAGCCAAATCCCTTTGCTCAGTATTTCCAACTTTAGGGCTGGCTGGTTAGCTCACTTGGTAGAGCATGGTGTTGGTAACACCAAGGTCAAGGGTTTGGATCCCTGTACTGGCCAGCTGCCCACCACCTCCCCTGAAAATTGCAACTTAATTGTTATCTTTTGAAATTATTCTTGCCACTCGTGTTTGTTATTATGGAAATGTTCGCTAGCATGACTTGCTGGAATGGTTGGGGTGGAGGCCAGGATTCGGGAACTGTGGACATGATGTGGGACCCAAACGAAGCCCCGAGGTACTTTTGGGTGAGGGCAAATAGTAAAGGAAGTTTATAGAACTGTTCAAAGGAAGTGTGAGCTGAGAGCAGTGGGTACAGGTTTCTTCTTGATGTGAGCGTGGCCAGGGGAGGGGTGGGAGGGAGGAAGAATGTGGCCAAAGGTCTCTTGAGATGCCGAGCCTGAGAGGATGGTGGCATCAGCCTGGGAGGTCGGTCTGCCCTGGGGAAGCAGCGCTGGTGTCGAGGCTCATGGAAACCCTGGTATTTCCTATCTGCCACAGCACCTGCGATGTGCACTGCACATATCCACTTCTCAACTAAATTCTAACAGAATAAATGAATGGGACGGAACAGAGGACTGGAACAGCAGAGATTAGGCATGTGCTTGGGGACTGAGTAGATGCAGTGAGGACGGCTGAGGTGCCCAGAATGCTCTGGAGAAGGAGGGCGGCCCAGCCAGGCCTGGGAGCAGGGGCAGGGGAGCTGGGTCCTCTGGGAGGGATCTGCCCCTCAGGCCCTGGCACCAGCTACCTCTGTCACCATGAACCAGTCACTTAGCTCTCAGTTAGTGTCCTCAGGTGTGAGATGAGGAGAGTAGCATGGTTCGTTTCTGTGGGTCTTTGCAGTTCTGAAGCTAAGTGAGCTTGAGTATCTGTGTGTAGCCAACATGTGTCCTCAAGCTTTGACCTAGTGATAGTATATCTGGGAACTTCACCTGAGCAAGCAGCTATTGGTGCGTGTGTGCTGAGGTTCAGCTCAGAGGACGCTCAGTGCAGGCAGAGCAGCTGGACAGCAGGACACTGCAGACAGCCTTCAGGTGCAGTAACAGGGGACATGTTAAATTAGCCCTAACCCATCCGTCTAAGAAAATACCATGTGGCTTCTCAATGTGGTTTGATAGAATAACATTTAACGATACAGTAAAACTTACACAGTTAAGTGAACATTCACTTTACCGATGATCCCATTTTTACAGAAATAAAAGTATGTAAATATGTGTATAGAAGGAACGTGGACTGTTGTATGGGAAAAGCGGGCATCTTTGGGAGTCAGGTTTGTGAAGGGTTTTTCTTTGTGTTTCTCAGCATTTTCTAAACATCCTACTAGGAAAGGGTATATTACCTTTGTAAAAAGGAAAAATGGTGACAGTTATTTAAAAATGTTTCATTCATTTTAATGGACACTTGCTTGCTTGTGCTGGGCACAGGGCTCCGTGCTGAAAGCTTCCTAATTCCTACAGATGATGGATAAAGGACTCTGTGTCTCCTTTGTCTCCCCAGGGGAGCAGCAGCATGGCCAGCGTGCTGTCCCGGCGCCTTGGTAAGCGGTCCCTCCTAGGAGCCCGAGTGTTGGGACCCAGTGCCTCAGATGGGCCATCAGGGGCTGCCCTGCCCTCGGAGCTGCAGGTGGAGCTGCTGGACGGTGCCGCTCCCCAGCCCTTCCTCGCCTCTAAGGACCCTCCCTGCCAAGAGCAGCCCAAGGAGGTCCTCAAGGCTCCCGGCACCTCAGGCCTCCAACAGGTGGTCTTCCAGCCTGGGCAGAAGGTAGGTGGATCCCAACATGGGCAGGCATCTGATCTCCTGATGCCAGGGGTGACCCAAGTGATGGGCCAGAAATTCTCTGGAGTTTGAGTGCAGACGTTTGTCCTCCAGGCACATGGGCTCTCGGGCTGCCTGAGAGGATGTGCAGATGCAGGAGGAGCAGGTGGCACAGTGTTCTGGGGTGTGCAGGATCTCAGTGTGGAGCATGGCCTTACCACGGTTTCTCTTTGTCTGCATCAGTCTGCAACTTTACACCACAGGAGAAAGGACCTCAGGTTTAAGAGTCAGAGAAAGTTGCATTTTTCAGTGACCTTTAGGTGGTTTAAAGAGATGAAGATGTTTATTTGGAATTCAAGTTCAATTTCCTTTTCCAGTGTCCCTCCCCTTGTGGCAGGGCCCAGTTGTCCCCTGGGTCTGATTGATCACTAGACCCAGGTGCGAGGGTTTCTCTTTCGCTGCCTTCTCAAAGGCCCATAAATAGAGACTCCATATGTCTCCCTGACAAGGTTTGTGTCCTGCAGGCCTCTTTTCCCGCAAGATGAGGCGACTCGCCAACTTCCAGGTACCCTTCGCGAGAGGTCATCCTCCCCCTGCCTCTAGCTTGTCCCCAGCTTGACGCAGCTTCTCTGAAGGGAAGAGTGCAGGGTAGGAGTAACTCAGGGCAGCAGCCGGGCACCCGCAGACATGCAGGGCTGCAGAGGACAGGCGGAGAGGATGCAGAATCCACAGAAGATCCCAGAAACCGACATGTCCACCGTCCTTCAGTCTAAGGAGTTTATAAGGGCCCTTTATTAGTCTTTTTTTGTTGCTTATAACAAAATACCTGGAACTGGGTACTTTGTAAAGAAAATGAAATTTATTGCTTACATTTTTGGAAGCTGGGAAGTCCAGAGTCCAGGGAACATATTTGGTGAAGGCCTTGGTGGTGGCAACAGTGACGGCAGGGTATCACAATTGCGAAAAAATGGGAGAGAGTTCTTTATGTGCTCTCCTTTTAAAGCCCTCAGAACCATGCCCGTGACCACCATTATTAATCCATTCTCTACTCCATGGTCCTACAATCCAATCACCTCTTCAAGGCCTCACCTTTCAATGACTGTAATAGGATTTCCCACCCTCTTAACAGTCACAGTGGGGATTAAGCTTCCAGTACTTGAACCGTGGGGGGCACAATTCAGTCAACCCACAGCAGACCTGCTAGTCTGGGTGCTCAGGTGGGTGGCAGGTGCCTGAAACATCTGCCTGGATTAAAGATAAGTGAGTCAGAGGATGCAGTTTGTGGCAGGTGGATCCTGACTCCTGGAATGTGGGGCGCTTGAGAACTTTGGGGTGAGAACTCTGAGTGCTGACCCTGATTGCTGTCCCTCACCCCCAGGTTTACGTGTGGTATGGGGGTCAAGAGTGCGCAGGGCTGGTGGAGCAACACAGCTGGGCAGAGGACAAGGTGACCGTCTGGCTGTTGGACCAGAAGCTGCAGATCTGCTGCAGGGCAGAGGAAGCGTGGCTGGCAGGGCTGCAGGGCCCCGGCCCACAGGCACCACCCCTGGAGCCCGGAGCCCAGGCGCCGGCCTACAGGCCTGTCTCCAGGAACATTGACGTCCCAAAGAGGTCTGTGTGGGAGACCCTGGGCTGGGGAGGCGTGTGGGTGGCGAGGTGTGGGCTGCCTTGTAATGGGGGAAGGGATGTGGGATTCCGAGGCGTCTGGTCACCAAGGTATTGGACAAATGGGTTACAGGGAGGAGCACCCTTTTAAGAAAGCCAGAATTGGGTCTTTTCTTCCCCATAACTCTATTATGGGTGCTGTATCTCTGGTTTGGTGAAGGGCTGTTTTCTCCCACATTTATGCTTACAGTAAAGTCAGCACATAGTTCTTCATGAGAGATGGGGAAGTCAGCTTAGATAGGGAGTCAGCAAATTTGTCCTGAATGGGCCAGGTAGTAAATAATTTAGGCTTTGTGGGCCAAACAATATGTGTCCAGCTACTCAGCTCTGCTACAATGGGGTCCACCCAGCCACAGACAATATGTAAAGAAATGGACACGGTTGTGCTCCAGTAAAGCTTTATTTATGGATCCTCTATAAAATTTTGATTTTGTATGATTTTCATGAATGGCGTGTCAAAAAATATATTCTTCTTTGATTTTTTTTAAGCCATTTAAAAATGTAAAACCATCCTTAACTCACAAGCCATACAAAAACAGGCAGCAGGCTGTGTTTGGCCCCCGGCCCATAGAACACTGACCGCTGGCTTAGATATTTGGACCATCAGTATTGAATGAAGGGTGTATCTTTTGCTATAGAATTTTATGATATGCCTTTTCTCTGAGAATATATATCCTAATTTCTATTTTGTATGCTCTGTGTACATTGATCTTTTAAGATTTAAAAAGAAAATCTGCCAACCGAGATTGTTTTATGGACAAGATGTGCAGGCTGCTAAGCCCTTGTCCGTCTCTCTCTCTCTGTGTTTGCCTGTGGCTGCCGCTGTTATTGACAGGAGACCCCGTGAGACCAGATCACAGCAACAATATTCACGATTGTGTATTCAGTGGAATGCCAGCAAAGAATTTGTTCTTCTGTTCTATGCAAATGAAAATTCAAATATCATACAAAAATAGAGGTGCTAATATGTTTAATATATGAATAGTTTTGGTATAGCTGCTTCAGACCCAGTCACATATTTTAGTGGACCTGAACTGTAAAAATGAATTAATCTAATCCTTTGAAATGGACCACCTAGAAGTTTATTTCAGACTTTTTCCAATACTTTAGCATCAACTTACAGTTTTAATTTTATTACTTCCAGGTGGTGTACCGGTATATGGATTTTTAAAAAATTATATGGAAAATGTTATAGAACTCTACTGTATAAAGCACTGAGACTTGCAGTGGGAGATTTATCTTGGTGTTTCTGGTTTATTTGCTCATTGGCTTATGAAACAGGTTCTGTTGACATTCGGAAGCTGTCAGAATGCCTTGTTCTTGAAGGAGGGGAGGAAGAAATTGGTTAATCGTTACCTCTTAAATTTAAATATGAGATGGGGAAAGGAGGTGACTCAAGTGCTTTTGAATTCTGGTGGCCGTGTGTTAGCCCCATGCTTTATTTCATAGTTCTGACCCTTCTCTCTTTCCCCTCAAATAAAACTCTCCATTTTTTTTTTTTTTTTTTTGGTGACTGGCTGGTAGTAGGATCTGAACCCATGACTTTGGTGTTATAAGGCTGCTCTCTAACCAACTGAGCTAACAAGCTGGCCAAATTCTCCATTTTAAGCCGCAGAGTTAGGAGTGAAGTCATAGGAGAATGAGCTGCCTCAGGGTGTCAGCAGCGACCTGCTCGTCCTGGGGTTGACTGTTGTCGTAAAGGTTGTGCAGAATGAGTATTGTCCGTGAGGAATGAGGAGAGACCTTCACGTGTCACTCACCTCATGCTACTTGGGCTCTCACTGGTTGACTGGAGTGGGGTCTCAGCGGGGACAGTCCAGAAATGCGAGATGACGGCATGAAAATAACTGGAAGTGGGGTCTCGTTCTGCGGGGACCACGGCCAGCCTTCCCAGAAAGTAAGCTTCCCCACTCACCCTCTTGCATCCAGGAAGTCGGACGCGGTGGAAATGGACGAGATGATGGCCGCCATGGTGCTGACGTCCCTGTCCTGCAGCCCCATCGTGCAGAGTCCTCCTGGGGCCGAGGCCAACTTCTCTGGTGAGCAGGCGGGGCTTCACTGGGTTCTGGGTGTGACAGAGGCCCATAAATGACATCCTCTGCTTTGAGCAGCTGATTGCTGGAATTACCGGCCTGGCAATAGGATTTCCAAGGCTCTTCTCACTGGCACCTTGGACTGGCTGAGTACCATCGAGTCAGATGCTTCCATTCTTCTTCCTCAGTTTCCTAATCTGGGGAGAGGCTTCCTGGTGTGTTGTGAAGATGATTGAGCACGGGACTGAGCCACAGTGGCCATTGGAGTAAGTTCTTCTATGGGAGTGAGGGATGTGGCACTTTGGTGGGGGCCTGAACGGGGCCAGTAGAGGAATATTTAGTTCACAAAGGTAGAGATATACTTAAATGGTCCCCTAGTGGCCTCAGAAGATTCATGCCCCTGTTCCAAGTGCCTAATTCAGCTTTGTAAATTTAGTGTGGGCCTCCAGGCCAAGGACCAATACTATGACTTCAAGGCAAATTTATAAATTAAAACAAAAATTTTCTAGTTGTCACCCCAAAATAACTTTATCTGTAATACTGGGGGAAGAAGGGTTGCTGGGTATCAGTAGTTTGACGGCACTGGTAGTAACCTGCATTGGCTTTGGAAATTTGTTATAGGGCTGGCCTACCTTACTCCCAGTGAAGAACTTTTCCAGTGGGGAGATCTGACTGAATTGCAAGCTACTTAAAAGCTTGTAGGAAAATATGGAATTAGTTTTGCGCACATACCAGGAGGAAAGTCACCTTTACAAGTGTCCCTCATGAGTAATCTCCCTAGATAGAAAGTAAATAAAAGGACAGAGAAAGCGAACTTATGTACTTCACCCAAAGCCTGTGGTCGGTGACGAGGCTGCTAGTAGAAGTCACTGTGCTGTGAGGGCTCCTGGCTGTGACGCCCAGGAGGACATGCCTGCTGTCAGCACCCGCAAAACAAGAGGGTTCAATGTAAGTCCTCAGGAAATTCTGCAGGCTTAGGAGATCCAGGATGTTGGTCAACAGGAGGAAGATCCAGGAAAGTGTCCTAAAAAGAAAGAAGATCATGAGGCCAGTTTCCATCAGGAGTGTGTGTTTATGTGTGCATGTATGATACATGTGTACACATATACGCACACACACCAACAATATGGATCTCACTGATACTATGCCATAATCCTGACATCTTACATCCCTTTCTGAAAGAAATTTTTTATGTCTGTTGAAGATTTTTGTCCATTACAATACATTTCTGATTTTATAGTTGAAGTCAGTGGAAAAATAAGGGTTCCTTGGCAGCTGATTTTCTGAAAGTAATTCTGCCAAGTGAGGTGTACACAACAACCAAAAACCTTTCTCTAATCATGGATACTATTTACACAGAAGTCACCTACTCTCTTTGGTGTCTGTTTTAGGATCATGTAGTTAGTGTGTGTGTGTGTGTGTGTGTGTGTGAGCGCGCGCGCGCGCATGCGTGCAAAGAACAGAGGGGTTGTAAATATTTCTTAACTCTCAGTGCTGTGTGATTGCAGTGGAGTACTTTGGTGTTTTCGTGGCATAGAATATTTTATGTTGTGTCTGTCCTGAGAAAACTTATGACCAGAGGAGGAATCGCACATGTTCACCGTGTAACTTGCAAGGTCAATTTGTGATGACTCTGCTTTGTTGTATATATTTGCTTCCTTTGTAGCCAATCTGCTTGTTTTAGCATTTGAGCCATTCGAGGTGGCTCCTCGGGGAAAGGGCTGCTGTCTTTGCGGGTTTGCCTGCTGGCTGACCTGCCCTTTGTCCCGAGTCCCGTTCACCTGGACGTAGTGTCCTGCTCCTGGCTCTGTCTCCCTGATAGGTCTCCTGTGTGGATGTGCGTGGCCCCTTGTATTGTTGTTGGTTGTGGACTTCTGCCCTGAAGTCTCCCTTGTTTTAAGCCCACGTGTAGAGGTCACAACCTCTTAGTTTCCAGGAAGGGAAAGTGATAGCTTTGAGACATTGCAGTGATATTTGGGGAGGGGAGGGTGCTTTCTCTAGCCCATTCCTTTTGGGTGGGCTTCTGCTGGGAGGGCCTGGATTGGACACATGGGAAGCGGAGGTCTGTTCCAGGTGTCTCGGTTCGCACAGATGCAGTTTGGAATATAGAGCAGGAGGAGAGAAAGGCAGTGGGGTTTTATTCTGGCCACAAGGACTGCCATTAGTCAATCTTGGAATCCAGAGGAGGAGGCTCTGTTGGGAGTTGGGGCTTTCAGAGATGCGTAGTTTTTTCCTCTCGGTGTCTCTGTGTATCAGAATTGCAGTTTCTCCTATCCTATAAATTAATCCAGATTTATGGCCTAGGAATGAGAGTCTGGATTGGGCCTGAAGCAGCCTGTGGATGGGCAGTTTAAGAACAGAAAATTCTGCACACCTGTGTCCGTCCTTCCAGTCAGATGCACCCAGGGAGCAGGCAGCTGCTTCCGGGCCATGCCAGGCACAACAGCCTCCTGTCCCCGTGGGATTTTTGGAATTGCTCTCGGAGCTCGCCTTTCCTGCTCCAGACGTGTTACTTCTGGATAAAAGCAGGGGCCACCTGGGCCGCAGCTAGCTTTGGGAAACGTTGCACCCTCCTGGAGCTCTGAGAGCTGAGTGGCTTCTTTCCACTCGCAGGTTTCCATGGACTTGCCTGGGTTTAAAGGATCGAAAGGCACTCTTCAAGAAAGCTGGGCAAGATGCTCTTTAAATCGGCTGTCCATCCCCTCTCAGCTGCAGGAAAGCGCTTCAAGCCGTCCCTGTGCTGCTGAGTGTTCTCACTTGGGCCCAGAGGCAGGAGAGGCTCTCCCCTCCCCTGCTTTTTTAACATATAATTAACTAGGCTCTCCTCCTGTCAATACTGTGCACAACGAAGTGGCAGTGTGCATGTGTTGGTCTGTGATGCCCAGGCAGGCCGTGCAGAAACATCCACTAGGGCTGGGCACTTCTTCCAATAGAAGTTGCTGTGATGAGTGGACCCTCCCCGTGTCTGCTGAAGCTCAGAAAGGAGAGGCTTTTGGTGTGTTTTTTTCTTTTTTCTTTTTTTTGCCTGGGGACAAGCCCTTGAGTGTCCTCTCATCTTCTTTCCCGGCCAGCTTCCCGTGGGGCCTGCGACCCGTGGAGGGAGGGTGGCGACGTGTCGGACAGTGGCAGCAGCACCACCAGCGGGCACTGGAGCGGGGGCAGCGGCATCTCCACGCCTTCGCCCCCCCACCCCCAGGCCAGCCCCAAGTATTTGGGGGACGCCTTTGGTTCTCCCCAGACTGATCACGGCTTTGAGACTGATCCTGACCCTTTCCTGTTGGATGAACCAGCCCCACGGAAGAGGAGGGTACGCGATGGTGCGACTGTGGTGTGGGTGTGAGCCCGGGCGGGGGCTGATGTCCATGGGGATGGCCAGCGTGGAGGGAAAGGGAGGGGAACCCCTGGGTCCTCGATGTCCTCGGGCATCCTCCTATTTCAGCTTATTGTGGCTGCTTCTGTGACCTTGTGATATTCCCAGGAGCCTACTCCTCCTCTTTAATGCTGGGTCCTTTTCCTTTTTGGCCCCCATCCCAGTTCCTGCCTTCTTTCTTGCATTCCGGTGGAGGCCTGTGCATGGGAGGCCTCTTCGGGGTCTTAGCCACAGCACCAAGCACTGCTGTTGGCTGCTAGGACCATCTCTTAGTACCGGGCTTTCTGGGCCCTGGTTGTCAGTTTCTCTGGTCCCAGAGAACCGTTCCCTGGAGGCTTTTGTTGGGTTGGACAGAAGATGGCATCCAGCTAGATAAGGATGAGAGAGGGGTGAGGGAGCATTTCTCCCAGTTACCTGGTCTTCCTTTTCCCCTAGAACTCCGTGAAGGTGATGTACAAGTGCCTGTGGCCAAGCTGTGGCAAAGTCCTTCGCTCCATCGTGGGCATCAAACGACATGTGAAAGCCCTCCACCTGGGGTAGGTGCTGTCTGGTTCCTCCACCCCGCTAACTCCCCACCACCCACAGCTCCGCACGCTTCAAGGAAATCTTGCCAAGAACACCACCTGGGGTCTGTCCCTGGCCGCTGTCGTGCTGTCGGGGAACTGTCCTTGCTCGGGGGTGGGAGGCCTTTCCTGGTCTGCGGTGGTGCTCTTGATGGGAGGGATGCTCAGTGCGTCTTGTGCATGTGTCTTCTTGCCTCACTGTGGGAAGCAAGACAGTCCTGGGTAGAAACAGGGTAATTTGGTTCACTCACTGGCGAGACCCTGTGGCCAAGATGTGCAGTGGCCAAGAACCATACTTGCTGCCCCCGGGAGACGGGTCTCCTTCAGTGCCCACTCTGGCACCAGGGCCTCCTCGTTTCTTTGCAGAGCAGGGCCTAGCGCACCTCCACTCGTGGCGAGAACTGCCTCGCACCCCAGGGGAGAGCACGTCTGCAGAGGGCGAGGCCTGAGAGGGCTCATGACAGCACTCAGAGGAGAGGCTGGTGTGTGTCCTGTGAGAGGACAGGCTGTAGGTGCCAGGAGAAACCATCTCCTGATGTGCGGCACATAATCCCCTGCAACACCCATCAGGAGTGGGGCTCCTGGATGTTCTCTCAGGCTCCTTCCCTGACTCGCCAGGTGGCCCCAACAATCACTTCCCTCCTGTGACTCAGTTTCCCTGGGGTCCCTATACTGACCACATCTGCCTGCCATGCAGGGACACTGTGGACTCTGACCAGTTCAAGCGGGAGGAGGACTTCTACTACACAGAGGTGCAGATGAAGGAGGAATCTGCTGCTGCCACCGTGGGCATCTCTGCCCCCAGGACTCCCACTGCTGAGCCACCTCCCACCCCCAGTGTGACCAGCCTGCCCCCGGCCACTCTTCCACCAGCTCCGCCCAAAGCCCAGTCCTCCGGCCCGGAGCACCCTGGCCTGGAGTCCTCCCTGCCCTCGGGTGCTCTCAGCAAGTCGGCTCCTGGCTCCTTCTGGCACATTCAGGCTGACCATGCCTACCAGGTATGGGGTGCAGGCTGTTGTCTGACTGGTTGCTGGTCAGCCCGATCACAGGCCACTGACCACCCTGACAGAGGCTGGGCCCTTTGGCTACATTGCTAATCTCCCCTACAAAGAAGGAAAAGAAAACTGATTTCACTCTCAGTAAATGTGGGAATTCCCAGAGTTCTACATCAGTAACTGTCGTGAGTGGTCACTAGGAATCTCGCTGAACCCCTATGTAGCCAGGTAGATGGATTTGGGCTCGGGAATCATCACATTGCTGCTTACAGGAGGGGATGGAATAGTGTAGCTGGGCTTCCCAGAGCAAATCTCCCTGTGTCACAGTAGCAAACAGTCCAGCACGTGTGTTTTGAATACCTGCTGTGTGTCAGGACTGGGCTAAGTAAGCTTTTCAGATAGAGTAAGACAAGTCCCAGCCCTTGTGGAGTGCATGGTTTAGCTGGAGGGAGAAATCACATGTAATTATGATTGATTATAGCAAGTAGTCAAAATACTACTTCCTACAGGCACGAGAAAGTGTTGTGGGTACAGGAGGGACCGGGCTATTTTGCCACGTGGTTGGGAAAGTTGTCACAGAGGGGGCGATGTTTAGGATGGGCTTCACTGCACATGGTAGCTACTCAATGAACGTGTGGCTTGCTGTCTGCTAGTGTCTCGTAAAATCCTTTGAATAGCTTGGTTTTATCGGACTTTGGGCCGACTTGCAAGTTAGTAATTAAGAAGCAGTGCCCACCATCAGAAAGCCTTTACTAAACGAGCCAGCTCTCCTCGTTAGAATGAGTGGCCACTTAGCTACGTCGTGTTGGGCCACCTTCCAGCCTAGCGGGCCTTGAGGGGCCCAGGCAGTGGCTGGGTTTTCAGAAGGAGACTTAAACCTGGGTATTCATGACGATGTTGCAACTTCAGGTAGGTGCCCGGGGATGCCATCTCTCATCCCAGACTCAGAGGGCTTGTGGACTTCTTTTGGCAACTGCCCGTAGCATGTTTTTGGTGGGTGATCCAGCTGAGAAGTGAATCTGCTGTAGTAGTTTACGTCATGAGGCTAGCTCGTAAGCCCGCTCTCAGAGGGTTCCAGAACAAGGATGTAGCCTTGCACTAAGAGACTACTTCAAAGAGTTGGCTACTCTGACTTTGCTCTCGGGAACATTAATCTGGTGTGTCCCGATATGTCCCGGTCATCTCCCTTCCATGTCGAGGTGCCTCCCGCTGTGGAAATCACAGGGCTCACGGGCAGGCTCTGGCCACTGCCTGAGCTGGAACCCAGGTCAACTCCCCCCTTGTCTCCCGCAGGCGCTGCCGTCCTTTCAGATCCCCGTCTCTCCGCACATCTACACCAGTGTCAGCTGGGCTGCCACCCCCTCTGCCGCCTGCTCCCTCTCTACGGTGAGTGTGCCCATCTCTCTGCCCACCAGCTCTCCTGGGGCCTGGAACAAGCTGAGGGCTCTTCCACACACTGTCAGGCCTGGAGGCCGCCCCCCTGGCCATGGCGGGGGTTGCTGCCATGTCCCTGGCCCCCAGACTTCTGAAGGTCTGCGTGTGCCTTCCCTTCCCTTGCCCTGCCCTCCCCTCCCCTGGTAGTCATGGCCCCTCTCAGAAGGTGGAAGGAGGGTGCTTCCAGAGGAGTGCCCAGATCAAGCAGGTTTCCTGCCAACAAAATCACTGGGCAAGGCTGGGGTGTCAGTGACCTATTTAGCCCTGAATGTCTGTGGTGCTTGTTCTGGTTTTAATGCTGAGAGGAGAGGAAGGGAGAGAGTGTGGGGAAGTCAGAGGGGAAGAGGGTGTCAGGCGACAGGAGTGTGCAGAGGCTGTGCAGGCTGGGCCGGGGATCTCCAGGCCACTGTGGACGAGCACCTTAGGTAGCAGTATCTCCTGCAGGGAGGTGCAACACATTCTAAAACCTAGTTGCAAGAAGGTACCACTGAGGTAGTGGGATGCCTGCCTTTGTTCCATGTTTAGTAGCTGTCTAAATGCCCTGCAGGGAGCAGCCCTGAAGGTGGCCAGGTCAGGTGGCTACCCTGCCCTTGGCCTCTGCTTGATCCTGAGTGTGGCTTAGAGGCCTGCCCCTCACTCTCCAGCCTCCCCCACACCTGGCCCTGCTGCCAGAGCACCCCCCCTGGAGTGTCCTCCCTGAGGACCCCTGTATCTGGGCAGGCTCTGGGTCCCAGCAGCACAGGGAGGGGCTGGAGAACGTGGCCCACTGTCCTCAGGATGGCCCTCATGCTCACGGCGTACACTGATGGCTCCTCTCCCCGTGTCCAGGTCCGGAGCCGGTCGCTCAGCTTCAGTGAGCCCCCACAGCCACCACCTGCAGTGAAATCTCACCTGATCGTCACGTCTCCCCCTCGGGCCCAGAGCAGCGCCAGGTGAGACTCTTTTGTCATGTCCTGACTTCTGGTGTCTGTCCTCTGCCTGCACTGGTGGCATGGACGCTGAGTCCACCCGACTATGGTCGCCAGGGTTCGTCCCCAGAGGGGAGCCTGGTTGGAGGACACACCAGTAGGGTGGCTTCGGTCCTCTGAGCCCCTGGGTCGCTGGCTTCCGTGGGGAGCCACCCCTTCCAGTCTGCTTGTTCACTCTGCCTGTTGGTCCTCCAGGTCTGGCCACCAGCATGTGACTCCCATATTCCCCTGACTCTCTTGGCAGGAAAGCCCGTGGGGAGGCCAAGAAGTGCCGCAAGGTGTATGGCATCGAGCACCGGGACCAGTGGTGCACGGCCTGCCGCTGGAAGAAAGCCTGCCAGCGGTTCCTGGACTGAGCCCACTGCTGACACCAGAAAGATAGAGTGCAGGAGTGTGGGGTGTGGGCTCTGCTGGCTAAAGTGTAACACTCGAAACGTTTTTCCCCTTATAAGAGGGAATGTTTTATTTTTTAAAAGAAATGAAAAAATTTTTTTTCCCCTAAAGTAGGAGAGAGCCAAAACTGACCAAGGGTATTCTGCAGCGAACCGGAGACCAAAGAATGAATGACCGTCCCTTCCCCACGCCCCCGTCTCCAGGGGATCAGCTTGTTCCTATCAAGAAGGAACAGCCCATGCTCTTTCCTGCTGAGTTGGTGAATTCTTTGCTCTCTCAACTCTTCTAGAAAGGACTGTGAGCAAGATTTTTCTTTACTTTTCTTTAAAAAAGACCCAAGTTTCTGGCTGTTGGCTGACTCAGAGCAGGACTGCCTGGATGGGGCGGGAGGCGGGGGGGTCTGTGCGCTTTTCAGGTGGGGCCCCACTTCCCCGTCCAGGCAGCTTCTACGGAAGTAAAAGGAAAACCCCTTCTTGGTGACAGCTGTTTGAATCTGGGTTCCCTCCAACGTTGGGTTGCATCCCAACAAATCTTATATGGCTTCTTTTCAAAGCTCAGACTAACAGATTTTTAAAGACTGTCCCCAAATAGCCAAAAGGCTACTAAGAATTCACTTTTTGAAATGTGGCAGTTAAACACTACCTTGATCATTCTTTCCTCTTTCCTTGAGGAACTACTGGAGGGTTTCAGTATCTGAGGAAACCCTCTTCTTACCTGAAGAAACTCCCTCCAGACATCTCCTCCTCCAGTTATGGAAAGGACCTCCTAAAACACTTTGTTTTCTTTTATGTGTATCCGGAAGGCTTTACGGATTAAAGCTTCCCTTACTTGGGTGGCCCTGAGACCCTGGAGGCTCCTTTTTGTCTCTGGGCTTCTCCAAGGGTTTCCCTCGGAGAGGGTCCTTGTGGGCGTGCGATTCACATGGAGGACACCTTGTGAGGAAGACGCTGGTGTTTCTGGAGACCACAGGAATTTAGGGGAGACTGGGCTGTGCTGAGGTTAATAAGCAAAGCTGTTCTTGTTGAGAAGGAGGGAGATCTAAGAGCTACGCACCCTGCCCGCTGGTGATGCGTGAAGACTGAGCAAACCAGCCTGACAGCACAGCACGTTTCTGTGGTGGAGTCCCCTTCCTCTAAGTGTCACTTGTGTGGGGATTCCTCAGGGCCTTGAATGTGGCCACCTGGTGCCCCGCCATCTGGATACGAATGAGTCCTGGCCCTGTGTCCCATGTGTTGGGCTCAGGGAATCCTGCCGAGCCAGCTCTCCTGGGACTGCTTGGCAGCATCCACTCCTTGGTTGTCAATGAGGACGTCCTCTTAGTCCCAAATGAAAACACCTGGCCACTGAGGGCCCGTGGGCCAGCTTCACATGGGAAACACACATACGCTTGTTGGTCCAAAACAGCCTTATAAAACCTGCAGACCTGAGAATAGGGGCGTGATGTTGTGGAGGGTGTAATGACCTGGGTTGGTGACAGAAGGGACAGGCACTTATGCACGGGTGTCTTTGGTGGTAATGGGGTATATTTTTATAACATAGTAAAAAAAAATGTATGTGGAATTCTGTCTCTTCCTAGAGCTCGAAAGCAGGCCAGCCAGGAGTGGCCCAGGGCTTTCCCTGCCCCTTTACGTCCCTTGAGAATTAAGAGTGGGCAGCAGGTGAGGGGCTTTTCCCGATCCTCCTCCCTTCCCATCCTCAGACCTTACCGCTGGCCCGTGGGGACTGCCCAGGAGGGTCTTCCCTTCCTTTCCCTTCCCTTCCCTTAACCAGAGCTCTTGCTGAGTCTCGTCTTTAGAAAAGCTGTTAATCTCCCCCCTGCCGCCAGTTTGTACCCTGAGGATATAACTGGATACAAAGATTTCCTCGATGTGGGGCAGGCTTCTCGTGCCATTGGTATGCAGGGCTGAAAAGGAAGCGAGAAGGCAGGAATCAGTGGGACAGCGTCGCAGCTGAGGTGGTTGTGTTGCTCTGTGCTGGCACAGCCTTCTCCGTCTGCAGGGGCTCCCTGCGCCTTCCTGCCACCTGCTCTCGCATCCTGTTGCTGTCTGCTGGTTACACATGGTCTGGCTTGGGGTTGCTCCATTTGTTTCTTTCTGGAGGGTGGGGGTGGCTGTGAATCCACACACAGTCATGCCTGTCTTCATCTCCGTACATCCCTCCTGCCCAGCCCCCCGGGCAGCGGCATCTGTCTGCCGGGGGTGCCACAGGTGTGCTCCTGAAACTAACAGGACTTGATTTCCAAAGCAGTTATCTTGGGAAACAGTTTGTTCCAGTGATGTTCCCTTTCTCCAGAGTAATTCTTGGAATTATCCTTCAAGCCTGTGGTGTTGTGTCTTGAACAGCCTTAACGATGCTGGGTGCACGCCCATGTGTGCGCAGTGCGGAGAGAGTCCAGCGAATGATGTCTGGTCAGGTGAGGTCTCAGGTGCAGAGCAGAAGGACTATCAAGTAAAATGGCTTGGATTTAATTACATGGCTTTTAAACTGGCTCTGAAAGCAACTTTGTAATTTCCAAGTGTTTTGAGCAATGGCCAAATCGTTGTGGTGAGTCTATAGCTTGACTCCTTGGAGGACTATATGAATTTGGATGTGGAAACCAGCTTGTTGGAAGAAATCTGTCCTGTTACTTTCTGGTCATCCCAGGTTCTGACTTTACAGGGGCAAAAAAAAAAGGCAAAAAAAAAAAAAAAGATGAGGGAGATAGATCCCATTTGTGAATTTGTCTTATTGGCGCCTTTCCCCCAGCTGTCTTCCAAGTATTATTTTTACTGTTAAAAATTTTTTTAAAAAAATGTGAAATGTAATGTTTTTACAGCAACAATATGAAATATATTTTATAAGGAATAAAATGGTACATTGTCTCATTTAATGTGTGCCTGTCCCTCTAGCTCTCCCCCTGCAAACCATAAGATAATCATCGTCCTTGCTGTTCTACAAATGATAAGCGTACACATCCATTTGCTTATGACAGTAGGTAACATTTACCAGGGATGAGGCCGAGTGATTACATGGATTACCTGAATAGCCCCGTGAGGGAATTACTATTCTTATTCCCATTTTACAGATGAGGAGAGTAAGGCACAGAGGTTACATAACCTGCCCAGGGTCATAAGCTGAGTATGCCTGAGTCTCCTGGGGAGGCGGCGAGTGATTTAGGAGAAGGTAAGCCATACTGTGCTCACAGGGTGGGTTCTGAGCAGGGTCTGCTCCCTGAAGACACCGATTCTGCGTGCCGTGGTGGCCCAGGTGGCTAGTAGAGCTGGCGCAGGTGGGAGAGCAGAATGCGGCATCTCCAGCCTTGTTCACGCGGTTTTAGTTGCTGGACTTTTGGATTCCAAGAAGACCCAGTCAAATAAACTGGGCTGGGGGAGTTGTGGAAATGTGCTAAACGTTCAAAGAATGTTAAAAAAAATATTTACAAAGGGGTATGTGTCGCCCTGGTGGGAATTTAAGGTGGTGGACAGGCAGTGGCTCTACCATTGGCGGTGTCTGCCTGGCCCATGGGCATGGCAGGGGCGTGCGAGGGGGAGTGGGGGCTGGATGGGCAGCGGAGAGGCGTGGCGAGCTTTGGGGACCAGGAGGCCTCCTGGCGGTGGGCTCTAGGGCTCCCTGACATTGCTCCCAGGTGAGGGCACTGCCACTCTGAGAAATGCGGGGACTTGATTATTTTAGGGGTGGGTCAAGCCCAGTGCCTGTGAAGCGGTTTGTCTTTTTACTTCGTCTTCACTTTTCTCCTGCCCTTGGGGCACAAAGGGGCATTCCTCTCTCCCCCTCTTCTTTGTCCTTGCCCCACCCCCTCCCTCTAAGAAAGTCCCAAATTGAGTCGCCTACTCTACTGCCGTTTGCCAGAGTCCCCCCAAGTGAGTTACCTGCATTCTCCATTGGCTTGGGCCCCCCGGGACTTCCCTGGGTGGCTGCGTCAGCAGACCCCCTACTTTTCCAGCTTCTGCTGGTGTTTGGCCAACAGGAGACACCAGGCTGGAGTTTGAAGGGGGGGAAGTGGGGGTGTCAAATCCCTGCTCCGACAGTGTGAATGGCTCCATTTGAGTTCCAGCAACTCCCTTGTCCCTTCCAGGGCCCCAGCTTCCCAGCAGAGCGCCTGCCATCCCTGTCTGACTTCCCATAACCACGTCTGCTCTTGCGGATGTTTGTTTAACCCTCCTCATTGCTCCTTGTGGGTTCGCTGAATGTTTCGTGGCTGGACTCTGGCAGCTACGCACCTTAAGGTGTTGAGTGAAGCTAGAGGTGAAAGTGACATCCCACAGAGCAGGTTTGTCTCCGCTCTGCCCCTGTGTCCCAATCCATGGGTCCCAGCAGGATCAGTGTCCCCTGGAGCTAGTTAAAAATGCACATTTTCTACCACCCCTGGGGGTGGGGCCCAGCAGCCCACCCTGCTGTGGTGCAGATGCACAGGGAGAGATCTGGAGCTCACCATGGCTTTGTCCCTGTCCAGCCACCACACAGCCTGGGCTCTTGTCCTCACACATCCTGTGCATCAGGGACTCCCGGGAGAGGTGACTCTGGCCCGGTGATTGGCAGTCTGTGCTGCTCGGACACTTCAACACAGCAGATCAACTGATAAACCATTTGCTCAGTAGAAGTTTAATGGAGAAATAGTTGTTTAAAACAATCAGTCCAAAAGAACAGCTCTTGTACAAACGAGTTACGGCAGCGACGAGTCAAAACCCCAGCGTGACTTCACGTTCCTGTCACCCGCCCGGAAGAGGGGAGCGGCGGGTGAGCAGGGAAGATGGGGCCATTGAAATGTTAGCTGGAGGGATTACAAAAATACACTCTGATGTAGCAACAGGGTTGTGGGGGAACATGCCAAGGGTAGGAGGAGACACCAGACGGGGCAGTTCTGGAGGCAGAGCTTGCGGCCTGCAGGTGCTCAGTGCCTCGGAGAAGGAGGAATCCTGATTCCCAGCTGGCAGGCCTGGGGCTGGACACATGCTGTTCGGGGGATCACATGGACGCCTGGGGAGACAGAAATGATTAAAAATGGCAAACCCGGTGGATTTTCTGACTCTTTGATCCTGTCCACCCAAGTGATTGAAGCAACTGAAAGCAGGAAAGAAAAGCTGTCAGCCCGATAAATAGCTCCTAAAGTAGCCAGAAGAGTTCTCTTCCCGGCTGGCCGGGTCTACGGGCAGGACTAGTGTAAAGGGGAGGTTGAAAGGGGAGGTCGGTGGTTTTGGCATGAAAGGCATAGCAGCAAGCCCCCTCCCCAGAAACAGTTTCTTCTTGCTGGTATTTGGAGTCCACGCTAAACAGCATTCTCTTTCATAGTTCTCTCATACTGCAAATGCTCTTTCAGCCTGTTGCCACTAATACCCGACCATGAATGAGTCTGCTCATTCTCCACTATCTGGAAGGGTCAAGGCCTGGGGCCACAGAAAAGAGGAAGGCAGAATAGGGTCAGGGAAAGCAAAGGTAGATGCCGAGACCAGTTGGGCCCTGTTCACAGTCTGGTCTAGGGCTGGTCTACACCCCAGTGCCCCTGCTTCCTAGGGCATCATTACACTTTCTGAATAGGGTTCTTTATCCCATTCCAGCGTTAGGGGGCCTCATGTTCTCCTGGCCTTCTAAGTGCAGATTGGCACTGGCACTCTTAGAAGTCAAGAACAGCGTTGGCAAGAGGAGTCCTGCAAGGTGGAGAAATCTCAATCATATGTAGGGCAGGTTGGGTATGAAATAGAAGGAAGCCTTAAGTTTCTTGTTGAAGACTCCAACACATACCCATAGTAGGTCTCAGCAAGCACACATGCGTGGGGACAGAAACAGGGAGGTGGCTGCAGAAGGAGAGAGGAAAGCCATCAACACTACCCAGACGAGCTGGTTAGTGTTACCATCACAACGTCCTATCTCGAGCAAAGCAGCAGACAGAAGCTAGTTAGCAGCTTTGTTTCAGTGCCACTTGGTTAGAAGCATAATAGGAAATTAGAAAAACCAACTGCCTGGGATAGGGGCTCCAATAGTTTTTTTCAAAATAAGTTGATTCCTGCTAATGGGATTGATTTTAAACTGTCTTTAGGTAAAGGAAATTGTAGTTCAGAGGTAGACATGAGCTTCAATGTCCCTTAAGAGTCATTTTAAAGAGGAACGTCTAAGATGTGAAAGAATTCAATCCATGCTACTTGTGAAAGATTTACCAATAGGCACTGTGCAGATGTGGCTTGGAAAGAAATAGAATGCTTGTGAAGAATCCAAGAGTATGACTTCAAAAACACTGCAGGTTAATTCAGGGCCTTCGGGGATTAGTCATTCTGCTAAAATAAACACAGCAGCCTTCTCCTCGCAACTTAATACTTGTGTCCATATTGGGTCCTGTTGCAAGCAAGCTGGCCTACCTGCAAAGACTACGTGGGCTGCTTCCCTGCTGAAGTGTGGGTGCCAAAGATCGACTCGTGTTAATATGCCTTGAAGGAAGATCATTAGTGATATGGCTGCTTTTGACATGTGGGAAGCAACATGCAACAGCACGTGCGACATTTTTCTCTCAGGTCTCTGATTTTGACAAATTGACTAGTTCTTTGTATTAGGGCAAGTTTCTAGGCTGTTTAAGAGATGTATGGGATCCTACAGATTATCATATTCCTATATACCAATAAGGCACATATACTTAACAGTTGGGAATTTTAAAAATTTTCAGAAATTTTCACTGTGCTTGTTCCCAGTGCCACTCTAAGTTATGCATTGGCTGATGGGAAATTTTCAAGGAAAATTGAGTTTGGAACAGCTGGGCGATGAGCTAGGGTCTTTGATGTACACTCATTATCTGCTACGTAGTATATGTGCTTGTGCAAGCACGCCCGTGGGGGAGGGGACAGCAGAAAAGGGGAGAGCCCGGAAGAAAGGAGAGAAGAATGGAGACACAAACAAAGCAGAAATGGCTCCCTGGGAAGAAGAATCCCTTAGTCCACTTTCTAAGAGCTGCTAGGTCGGGTAGGTCAGTCTCCAAGTCCTGCTCAGTGATGGTGCCACCGATCACAAGGAATCGGTCCTTCTCTGGCAAGGTGGTAGGATGGACAAGTGGCTTGTGGAGGAAAGAAAAGCAGAAAGAATCATTTCCTGGTCCTAACAAGAACCCTTGGCTGGGAGAAATGAGAAAGTTTAAGTGGTTTCCATGGAGTCGGGTCACCTTGAGACCCAGGGGAAGGGGAGAGGGGAGGTGACAGCAGCATCACAGCCACAGTGGCCAGACTCTTTGCAAATGGCTAAGAGTCGGTCCAGCTATTGGTGTTTAAAGTCTCTGAGGAAAGGTGAGCTGAATGGTTACTATGGTAACCAGAGAGGAGACTTGGTCCACTTAACTGTCCCCATAGTAACTAAGCTCCTGGAGAGCTACAGAGGAATTAGTTATCCTAACACGTTACTATTATCCCCATGGAAACCAGTCTCTAAACGAGAGTGGTCAGCCTCGAGGAGCTATGCTGGGAGAACCTTGACTGCCTAGAGGAAGGTGGGCAGGTGGGAGGTGGGCAGCAGGCAGGCAGGTGCATCTCCCCCAGGCCGCCCAGGAGCCAGGCTCCTCCAGGCAGTGTGTGCCTTTTGGGGTAGGTGGCCCTGGCCTGGGAGGGGGGCTGCGTGGTGGGTGGGTGTATGAGTCTCTCCTCGCCCCCAGCTGGCCAGTGCCCAACTCACTCATGGGTTGCAGTGCTGGTGCCGCTGGGAGGGGTCCCCTCCGGCTACACATTACCGTTCTGCCGCAGGGTGCGCCGGCGCTGGCTGGACTGCATGCTGAGGACCAGGTACTGCCGCACGAACTCACTGAACCGCTTCTGGTTGGCCAGTTTCCGGGCCGACTTTCGCGCCCCGGTGAAGCCCCCGAACCTCTTCTGCAGCTGCTTCTGCTCCTCCACGCCGGGCTCCGTCTCTTCCTGTGCCCGCAACAGGCTCCTGACTCGGGGAATTCGCTTCAGATGCTGCATCTCGGAGGCTCCCGGCTGGTGAAGAGCAGCTGGCACGTGCTCGGGTTCAGTGGGGCTGAGCTGCCAGGAGTCCCTGGCCATGACCTGGGTGCATGGAGTCCAGAGAGGGCTGGGGAAGACCTTCTCCTCGCACTCGAGGATGCACACCTGCAAAGTCACAGGTGGAGGGGGGGACAGGAAAAGGCATAGGGACCTCTGTTAGTCTAGGCAAAGGAGGAATAAGCCCCTCTGCTATCTGTACCTGAACCAAAGCAAGTGCTTCCGAAGCTTCTATTGTCGAGTGCTGTGCGACAGTGTTACATGTAGTTTTTAGGTTTATAGAATTCCAGAGTTGGAAATAAGCAGAATCGTCTGGCCCAGCTCCATCATTTTACAAACAAAGAAACCAGGGCTCAGAGAGGTGAGGTTAACCTACCCCCCGGTGCAAGTTAACACAGAACAGATGCATGCCACACTGCACCCTGTTACGTCCTTAGTCGAGTTTCTGGAGCTAAGCACAGCCTGTGAGCGTCACCCATAAAGAAAAATTTTATTTTATTCTCTCATAGGTGTGGGCACAGTCAGATTGGTTAAAGAAATTGGGATATGAAAGTATGTAGTTAAATCTGTGCATTTATTTGAAGGTCACTGGTGCTGTGAATTTTTCATCCTGCACACACCAGTGATCACTATCTGTGCATCATTTATAGCAAATGAGGGAAACCTGAGACCATTCCCAAGTGTGGGGAGAGATACCACCATCAGATGCGAGCCACACAGACCAGTCAGGCCTCTGGGAGCTCTCTGCCACTGCCCTGCCTTTCCGGGCACCCCCGAGTTCCAGTTGAGACCACCAGCCTGACCGTGACTTTTCTCCACCCCTCCTGACTGACCCTGACCTTGGCTCTACACTCTGGTGTTCCTGTGTCTGGTCGGGTCTCCTGGAAGCCTTCTGCCTTCAACTTTTCTTCCTATTTGCTATTTTGGCTTCACCTCCCAATTCTCCTCTTTACATTTCTGGCCTTAGCCAGATGGAAACCCCCCTTTCACCTGGTGTCATGAGTCAGCAGGCAGCTGCAGAGTCCTCCTTTAAACTATGGAGCTCTTGCCTGGCTTCTGGGCACCTTCCGGGGCACAGGCTGCCAACTGCCTGTCGGGTACCCATTCCACTCCCCTGGCCCTGAGCACATGCTTCTGTGGCAGTTCTCGTCACCTGCTGCCTCTTTGTTTACCTGAGTACTTGTCTGTCCCATTAGACCAGGACTCTTAACCTTTTTTCGGTCATGGACTCTTTGGAGAATCTAATGAAAGCTTTGGAGCCACCCTTTCACCATGTAAACACACACATGTCAAATTTGCATACACTTTTACACGGTTTGTAGATCTTCAGAAGCCTATCTATGGACCAGGCAGGCACCTGTGGACCTGGCCAAGGACCACTTTGCTTGGCTGTAAACTGTCCTGTAGGAAGAGTACGTCTGCCTTCCAGGCATCTAACACCTGGAGGACGAAGTGGAGCTCAACCGTGAGGTTGCTGTGAGAATGAGTCCATGGGAGAAGGAGGGGATCTCTGCTGAAGTCATCCCCTGCCACGCTGGGAGCTGCACTCTTCCTGTGCATCAACACAGCATTTCGTGGAATGCTAGCACTAGGTGGGACTGTAGGGAAAGTGAAGGAAAATGGCCAGGGCCCCTCAGATGTTCAGAATCTTGCTGAGCATTTGATGTAAATATGCACATGTGCCCAGGTGTTCCTTGGTTATTGTCTAATGTAATTACCCACGTGCACCCAGGTGTCCTGGGTTATGACTTAAGTATAAAGGACGAGCGGCTGTGATCCACGGCGCCCCCACCCCCGGGGATGGCCCCAGGGGGTCCATGGGGAGGCCACAACTGCTGCTGGAGGCTATTGCTGCCAGCTGTTGCTGCCAGGGCCCCAGGGAACCTCCAAGAGACCACTGCCGCTGCTATTGCTGCTGAGGACTGGGCTTGTGTCATCTGACAATGGCTCCTGGGATCTTTTCCAATTACCTAGCATGGACCTGTGTGTGAGGGGTCTGGGGACCCAGTCTGTACAATGGGTTTGAAGGGTCTGAGCCCTAGCCCTGACAATACAAATGGAAACAGTATAACTAAAATAATGAAACGTTTTGGCTTTAGTTATGAAATGTCTAGCCATACAATTAGCGTAGCTATTGCCTCAGCCCGACAACTGGCATAGTTGTGTAGCTTTACAGGGACCTTAGGCAACACCTGGTCCAACAGGTCCCATACTTGGGTGTGAGTCCAAACCATCTGCAGAGCTTTGAAAAACACCAAAGTTCAAGACTCGATTAAATCCCTGAAGAGTAGAACCAGGGATTAAATCTTATTTTTACAAAGCTCAGGTAATTCTGATATTTGCCTGGGTTGGAAATCACTGATGTAATCCAGTCCTTGCATGTTATGATGAGGTTCAGTAATGTGCCCCAAACGACACTTTTAGATAACTGTATAACCTGAGCGAGAACTCAAAAACATCTCGAGGCCCAATCCAGGACATCTACTCAATGACCTCTGTGTGCTCACAGTACTGATTGGTGGAAATTAACGCGAGAATAAGATCCTATGAGACCAAGAGTTAAGGTTCTGATGGGAATGATGCTCATTTTCCCACTGGACTAGCAAGACAGCGTCCAGCAGGAGTCTTCTCTCCTTCCCTGCGAAGGTTTCCAACGAGCAACGTGTCCCAAGCCCCGCTGTTAGGCACAGCTGGTGAGGCCAGCCTCTGCTGATATCACACATGGTTTTTCCAAGCATGCCTTTCCCACATAGTTCTGACAGACCTAACACAGCCACAGTACAAACTCAGCAGAGACTACATTTTCACACCCACAATGTCACCGGTATAAAAAAATGATGGGCTACTTCCGTAGATGGAGAGGGCTGATTTAATACAACAGAGTGGTAAACTTCTTGAGTGTGCTACAAGAATCGCTGTCAGGAGTTTGTTAGAATGCACGTTCTTAGCCCACACCCCGGGAGATTCTGGCCAGTCAAGGGAGGGGCCCAGGACTTGCACTGTTAGCAAGCACCCCAGGTGATTCTTAGGCTGGACTACCCTTTGAGGAATCCCACTCCGGAGCTTGCCCTAAGGAGGAAGGAGCCACCACGCAACACAGTGACTCTCTTAGAGAAAAAGTCACTGGGGTCTGTACTCTGCCTGTTCCCGAGATACTTTGAAGAAAACTAGGTAGAACCAATTTATAGTACAGTCTTTCAGACTATAATCCTATTGAGTTATCACTCTACAGCAGTGGATTTCAACTAGCAGAGATTTTGCCTCCTAGGGGACATTTGGCAATGTCTGGAGATGTTTTTGGTTGTCATAACTGGTGTATGTATGTGTGTCCATGCTAATGGCCCCAGAGGCCAGGGATGCTAGTTAACATCCTATAATGCACAGGGCAGCCCCCCACAACAAATAATTATCTAGCCCAAAAATGTCCATAGTGACAAGTTTAAGAAACCTTGCTCTACAGAGTCAACAGGAACACAGGGGTTGGAGCTGAAATGCACCTTTGAGCACACTTGGTTCAATACTCACAGCATAGAAACTCAAAATGCTTGTGGAATTGTGCTGCTCTTTCAGTCTACAGCAGCAGGTGGAAGCATTGTTAAACCTAGAGGCTATTAGATCTTCTGTGAGCCCCTGAGTTTCTAAGCCCATATGGTAATTAGATTTTGTGTCAATCAGAGAAAATGAAATTCTGTGATCAAACCAGATGCCACAGTCCATACCCAGACTTTTCATACTGTTAGATAAATTAGATACTAACAAAATCATTTAAGTCTTGATTTAGGAGAAGGTTTTGGGCAAACATGAGGAATCCAGATTCACAACAGCATTTGTAGCACCAGATAGATATATGAGCGTCATGCCTAACCCTCTGGTCTGTGGGGCCCACCAGCCTCTTTCCAGAGATGAATTAGTGGCCTATTAAGGGAGCTGGACACAGTTTTGCAGCCTGTGCTGATGACATTGTTATATGAAGCCAGAGTGTGCATGAGCATCTGGAGTCTTAGATTGGTGCCAAATTGGTCTGTAAAGCTGGGCTTATGGGGAAACTGAGCAAGGAGCCATTTGGATGTCTGGGATCAATGATTAGGGCACAAAGTGGGAAACAGTTTCATGAGCCCACTGGAAGGAAAAGAAGCAGCTCACTGAGATGGTCTAGTTTCTGTCACTAAAAAGTCAAATCACTTGTGACCAAGAGACATTTGGGAGCTATTTGCTTTAGGAGGTCCTGCTAGAATATCCGGAGGCTAACACTAGTAGGCCAGCAGATGAACAGCACAGAAGGAAAACATAAAAGGAACTCCTGCAACAAATTACCCCATAAGAGTTTTCATTTAACAAAGACAGAAAGATCTACTAGAAGGTAGCTTCATTTGCAAAAGAGCTTTAGGTAGTTTTAAATAAATTTCCCCAGACTCTTGCTTGGGGTTTGGTTGTCTTTGTCTCTAAAACAACTTGGTGAACTAGTTTTTTTCTACTTGAGCTGATAGGGTAAGTAAGGCGAGGACATTGCCATGGGTTTGGGTATGTGAGTCATTTACCAACCAAAATTATAGTCTAACAAAAGCCAGCCATGCTTGGATCTTCTACCAGGAGTAGAAATAGACAAATTCTTGATGAAGCCAAGGGTCCAGAGGATCCTGGGAATAGCTTGGGATTACATAGTTTGGTAGAGACTTCGGGGAGGTGACCCTTGCTGAAATATGAGTCCCTGCTGTCATTCACAGAATGGACATACTCAAAGGTTGTCAGACTTGGAAACGAGATGTGACTGCCTACATTCCAGGCATTCATTACACCTATAAATAAATTAAGGATGAATACAAGCTAGAAACAAGAACAAGCAGACAGCCAGGTCCTCTGGGGGGTCAACAGGCTGTGAAGGGTTTATTCCTGATTAGGAGGCTTTTACAGGTCCATTTTCTGACTTTTTTCAAAGAAATAAAGCTAAGAATGTTGTCTGGACCCCAGAGATTTAAGATGCTATGGAGAGATGGGAACGTGCTCCAAATTCTGTATTGTCTCTGAAAGACGCAAGTGTGAAAAACTCTACAGCGGCTGCAGCGATATGCCTATTAGGAAACTAAATAAAGGTCTAAGAATCTTATTTTCCACGGGACATGTTTATGGAGCACTGCTCTGTACCTCACATGCCGTGTGCTGAGAAACCCAGATCCATCAGCAAAGGGAATTTATGGTGAGAGAGACCTAAAGGAGGGGCCAGCTCTACCGGGGGCAGGTGGAGAATCAGCAAAGTGTTCTCTTACGAGATGAGACCCAATCTGGGCTTTAAAGTGTGAGTGGGATTTATGGCATGGGGAGGGGCAGAGGCACGTGCTAGAAGGCAGGGCAGGAAGGCAAGGTGGCAGTTCCTGGGAACTATAGAAAGTGATTGGGAGTGTGGGTCGGGAGCGCACCTTTGGGAGTCACCTGCAGCCAGGGGAGAGGCGAAGGCCTGGATGTGTGGTTGGGATCTCAGAGGGAGAGAGGACAGGAGGTAGGAGGACAGACTCCAGGCAACCCCTTATGTTTGGGGGGAGGGAGAGGAACAGGATTCAACACAGGAGGCATAAAAAGAGTAGGCAGAGGGGGAAGAGGCGAGAGGACCAGGAGAGGACGGGGCTTCCCAAAGGAGAGAGTAACGGGCAGGTAGGACCAAATCACGAAGATGAATAAGAGGAATGGATAAATCTGAATGGGTTGTCTGGGGACGTGCTTCACGATGGCATGGTTGTTACTGGTCAGAAAACAGGCAGGAAAACCACTGAGCCGGGTGGGGAAGAGCTGGGTGCTGGGTCTGCCAGGGCTGCGTCTGTCCATCCTGAGCTGGGAGACGCCAGGGTACAATAGACCAACTCCAGTGCTTGGCTCTGTATTTGTACATTTGACATAAAGAACAGTGGTTACTTTCGGCTGCTCTAAGAGGCTGAGGAGTTTGAAACATGGCATCTTTTGAAAGTTTATTTGACTACAAAGGAAAAAATAGTTGAGTTATACTGGATTCCACAGGAGAGGAATAACTGCCTAGACTGAAATTCATGTAGCCGAGAAAGCAATTTATTTAATGATCAAGTACTGGACGCCAAATTTGCACCTCAAATTGGAAGTTTAAAATACAAGAGAGTATTTTGGTACCGGACTGTTCATTATAGAATTACCTGCAATATCAAAAATGGGGCGTAATGTATGTGTTCAACAGGAGGGGAATGGTTAAACAAATTACACTATATACACGGAAAGAAATAACCTAAAGTAGTGTTTAATAACATGGGAAAATTATCCTGGTATACTATAGTAAGTGACATAAAAGTAGGATTCTTTCTCTGGTTGGTGGGATTAAAGGTGATTGTGATTTTTAAAAATGCTTCTTAGAATTTGCCAAATTCTCTAAAACAAGTATGCATTATTTTAATACTGGGAACCACATGGCAGCGTGGGCAGGTCTTCACTTGAAGGTGGGAAAGGGGGAAGATCACAGGGTTCCCCATTGGAAGATGCAGCTCAAGTCTGCAGCTGTTTCCTGCGGCAGATGACACGAGGCAAGGCCTGTGCCCTCTGGGAGAGGCCTCAGTTTCTGAGTCTGCTCTGGATGAGGAGGGAGAAGCAGCACTGGGCGAGGTGGCTCCTCCCGCCTCCAGGACCTACCTCCAGGTTGAAGCTGGGCAGGGCTGGGCGGAGCTTCTCCCAGCAGGTGAGACAGTCCCTCTGACAACTGCTGGCCACACTGGGGAGGAGGCTGAGCAGCAGCAGGCTGCAGAGCAGGCTCTTCATCAAGAAGAAGCAGGACATCTGGCACTAGAATACATATGAAGGTGCATTCAATTAGCGCGGCCATTCTTGGGGGGCTTCTCAGGGCTGGAGACCCCAACGCTGGGGATGAAGGAAAGACACACTTTAGCACATGGAGAGCACATGGGCCTGCAGTGCACCTCTCAGGAGTGAAAGGATTGTCACCCAAGCCTAATGTTCACGCACAGGCTAGAGTCAGGGCCTCTGGGGAGAGTACTCCTGGGACTCCTGCCACTTGGCTGGACCCCACACAAGCACTTCCAGGAGCAGCTTTCCTGGGCGCTGACGGCAATGCGTTGCAGCTTACCAGCATGTGCCCTTAAGTCAACCTCTCCAAGCCTCAGTTTTCGTAGCCAGAAAAGGCGAACGGTGGCCCCTGCCTTGTCGCAGGCCTTGTGAAGATGAAATGGGACCTGTAAGGGGGTTTGCCAAGTGCTATGGAGAATGAGTTGAGTGAAACATGAGATGTCAATGACTCGTGGACTTGTAGGAAAGACACACTTTAGCACATGGAGAGCACATGGGCCTGCAGTGCACCTCTCAGGAGTGAGAGGATTGTCACCCAAGCCTAATGTTCACGCACAGGATAGATTCAGGGCCTCTGGGGAGAGTACTCCTGGGACTCCTGCCGCTTGGCTGGACCCCACACAAGCACTTCCAGGAGCAGCTTTCCTGGGCGCTGACGGCAATGCGTTGCAGCTTACCAGCATGTGCCCTTAAGTCAACCTCTCCAAGCCTCAGTTTTCGTAGCCAGAAAAGGCGAACAGAGGCCCCTGCCTTGTCGCAGGCCTTGTGAAGATGAAATGGGACCTGTAAGGGGGTTTGCCAAGTGCTGTGGAGAATGAGTTGAGTGAAACATGAGATGTCAATGACTCGTGGACTTGGTCTCATCCTCTCCAGCCTTCCCTTCCTGGGCCAGGATTGCCCCATGCCCCCAAGTTGTCTCTTCCAGGAAGCTTCTGTGGGTTCCATGTCTGTTTCCCCTGCTAGACACGAGCTAGTGCTATGGTCCGAAAGTTTGTGTCTCTTGAAAATTCATATGTTGAAATCCTAACCCCCAAGGTGATGGTGGTGGGACTCGGGGCCTCTAGGAGGTGACTGGGCTATGATGGCAGAGCCCTCAAGGACTTACGAAGCAGGCCTGAGGGAGCTACCTTGCCGCTTCTGCCACGTAAGGATGCGGTGATAAGGCCTTGACTGTGAGCCAGGAAGCTGGCCCTCACCAGACACTGAAATTGCTGGTGCCTTGATCTTGGACTTCCAGCCTGCAGAACTGAGAGAAATACATTTCTGTTGTTGTGAACCACCCAGTCTAAGGTTTTAACACAAAAATGTTAGCGCAGCCTGGATGGACTAAGACAGCTGGCTTCCTAGCACGGGGCTATCGCATTCACTCTGGTGTTCCATGCCAAGTGCAGGACCTGGCATGATGACTTGTTCATTGAGAAATGAACAATGCCACGATTCTAGGACAGGCGCTCCAATAATTAAATTGGTAGTTTACAATCTATGCAGGATTGCCTGAAAGATGTGTAGTTTTCCCATTCCTCTCTAAAACTTATCCTTTGATCAAGCCTCCTGAATCCTTGGACCGCATCACTTTGGGGCCCTGTAGAACCATCTTTATTTGGAGGATTAAATGGAAAAAGGAACAAGGGAACTTTCTGGAAATGTTTTTTTATTCCAAAATAACATTTACTTGTACATATTTGTGGGGTACAGTGTGTTGTTTCAATACATGCATCTGCTACGCAATGATTCACTCAAGGTAGTCAGCACAGTTTTGCACCCATTAATCCAATGCTCATCCTCCTCCCACCTGCCCCATGCAACTTTCTGGAAATGTGAAAGTGTTGTTTCAATACATGCATCTGCTACGCAATGATTCACTCAAGGTAGTCAGCACAGTTTTGTACCCATTAATCCAATGCTCATCCTCCTCCCACCTGCCCCATGCAACTTTCTGGAAATGTGAAAGTTTTTTTTTTTTTTCCAGCTGGCCGGTATGGGGATCTGAACCCTTGACCTTGGTGTTACAAGTCTGTCTTCTTTTTTTTCCAGCTGGCCGGTATGGGGATCTGAACCCTTGACCTTGGTGTTACAAGTCTGTCTTCTAACCAACTGAGCCAACCAGCCAGCATCTGGAAATGTGAAAGTTCTTGACTGAGGTCACAAGGGGCTATGCATTTTCCAAAAACCATTGAATTATACATTTAAATTCTGCACATTCATTGTATGCAACTTTCCTCTTATTAAAGAATTAAGTGTAGAAAAGCAAAAATAATCGCTTTTATTGCTTTTCATCAGACCATACTGAGAAAATGTATAAGGTCTTGTGCCTCAAATATAGCCTGCAGACCAGCTGGGGTCTCGTAAGAAATGCGGAATCTTGGGCCCCAGCCCAGAACCGCTGAATCAGGATCTGCATTTTTAGCAAGATTCCTGGTGATTCGTACACACACCGACATCTGAGAAATGCTGGTATGAGAGGGATGTGGGATGGAGCAAGTCAGCGGGAGGAAAGGAGGGGATTCTGCAGCTCAAGTCACCCAGCAGCCACGCTGGGAGACCGCCTCAGCTCCCTGGTGCCTTGGCAAAACATTCCATACCAAGAGGATGACGACTCTAAGGGGCTCAATAAATGTTCATGAAATCAGTGAGTTACAGCAGTCGAATCAATGAGCTGATTTTGAGATGAGTTGTGAAGATCAGTGAGTTTGCCCAGAGGACAGAGAAGAGGGCGTCTGGGAGAGCCAGGAAACAGCAGTTTCCAAGGCACACAGAGTCAGGATCATAGCCTGGAGGGAGGGCCAACAGACAGGTATACTGGGCCATCTGCCCACATTCCCCAAAGCACCTGCTGAAGGCGAGGCCAGGTCCAGATGGAATAGGGTCTGGTTTGCCATCCTAAAGGGTCTGAGCTTCACCCCACAGATGACGGATGCCTGGGCTAACAAATACAATACACAACAAGTGGCGTTTTCTCTTCTCTATCCCAAGCATCAGTGCCTTAGTTATAATTTTTTGCCTTGGTTATTTTAATAGCCTCTTAATTAGTCTACCTAATGATTGGGCCTCCCGCCACACCATCTCCAAATCTGACGATGTCACTTCCTACTTAATAATTCTATAACCCCCATTGCTGTCAGGAGGGATTCCAAGCTCAGCACTGGCTCCTGTCTCCTTCCCTACCACTCAGCCCGGCATCTCCTCTAGTCCTGGCAGATCATGTGGAGCTCCCAACCACATCAGGCTCTTGAAGTCTTTGTATTTTGGCTCATGCTGTTTGCTCTGCCCTGAATCCCCTCTGCAACTCGCACTGCATACATACCTCAAGAATGATCCCTTCTGGGAAGCCCTCTCCGACCCCTGGTCTGAGTTAGATCAATGCTCTCGGCTGCTGTGGCATCTCGACGCAGCACATCACAGCAGAAAGCAAGCCAGCCTGGGCGCCTCTGTCAGACGGCGCCACAGACCCACGCTGCAGAGCTGCTGTGGTGTGCATTTCATCTGCTCGTTACTGTGGACTGCCTGAGTTCAGATCCCAGCTCTGCAGCTTAGGGTAGCAGTACTTCACCTCTGAGCTCCTCATCTGCAAAAATGGGATCATACAGTACCTATCGCATACGACGATTAGTGGGTTCATGCTTGTAAGCTGCTAAAATAGCACCTGGCACGTAACAAGAATGATACCAAAGCCTACAAAAGAAAGAGCCCAGCATGTAGCATTCACTCTGTAACACTATTATTGTCTCCCTTATGGCCCTCAGCACACTATACTGTGAACTTGCACTTATGCATCTATTTCTCCCACTGGACTGTGACTTCTTGAGGGGGGTAGAGATCATGTCCTGTGCTTCTCTGTATTTCTAGCACCTAGTACAGAGCATGACACACAGAAGGTGCTCAATAAAAGTTTGAGAAATGACAGTACAGTTTCAGGAACTCTCTTCCTTCTCTAGCAAATGGAGAGTTGAGCATCTAGGAGTATCTGTTTCATTGAGGGTTGAAGATGCTCACGTCATAGGGATCATTTTGGGACCCATGTCACCGAAAATGTCTATTAGGGAATTCTCGTTTGAGGATGGAGAGGTGGAAACCTGTTTTGTCCCAGAGCGAGGTAAGATGCCATCCTAAGCTGGAACTCCGATGCACGTTCTGGTGGAAGACTGGTTACAAACGGCTGTCAGGCGTGGTTGGGATGGTGTTGGGTGCCAGACCTGTGCAGGTTAAAAAGGTGTTGGTGGACAATCGATGGGAGCTCTTCTTTTGAAGAGAAAATGTATCTTGAGTTCCAAACAGCCACTATCTCAGCAAACATTTTAGAACATGAGCCGGTCTTAAACTGAGGACTGCCAGAACCTTTCTTTTGTTTGAGAATTGCCTTTACATTTCGTATCCAGCAAAGTTTCCGTCTTTCTAGTCAAGGGAGATTTTTGTAGAAGAATTTGTCTAGAGTGGCATGGCTGTGCCCCCTTCGGCCACATGATGGCAGTGGCTGCATGCCACAGAAGAAAGGGGCTGTGTCCTCCATTCCCAGTACAAGATTGCAATGTGCGATGTGCACCTAGAGTGAGCTGATCAGTGGCGACAGATATTGATGAAGTGTCCTCTGGCTGAGGCTTTTCATGAACTTCATTAACTGCGGCAACCTATGCATTCAAGAAATGTTTGGTGGTTTGACTGAAATTCGTTGTCTCCAATTCTGGGTAAATGGGACTTAAGGGTGAGGTGAAGAAAGACGAACTCTCGGGACGTTTAGCATGTGTCCCATAGGATGCTTTCCAGTATGTAAACTGCAGGGCCTCTTTGGGTTGGCACTTGGGGAGACCTTACCGAATCTTCCTGGCTCTAGCCAGGCCCTCGTCCCTGCTGGTCTGTGGCACACCTGTCCTCCAGGTGCCAACCTTCCTCCCCTCCAGGTTCTACCCTAACCGTTAACAAGCACCTCCACCTGTTATTTAGAAACCATCCATACTAAT